GCCAGGGCCTCCCCACCCTCCCAGCCAGGAATTCCTCCAGTATCCAGGATGTGATGAACACAGGGTTGATGTGCTCTGCCCTGTGCCCTCCTTTCCCACGGGAACACCAGGATTCCCTGAGTGTCCTGCCTGGAAGCTCAGCACTCCTGCCAGGGGGAACCACCAGACCAGCTCCACCTCCTCCCTCAGAGGAGTTCTGCTCTGCTGTGACTGGGAAGAATGGAAGGAAGGCTTGGAACTTTCCAGAAGCTGCTGCAGCCCCCGGGGGAGCACAAGGGAGTGGCCCAGCAGGTCCCTGTGTGCACAAACTGCCCCTGTGGAGCAAGTGCAGGCTCCAGAGGGAAGCTGATGAATCCAGGACCAAGTGTGAGTCTGGGAAAGGGGGAGTGAACAGACCTCAACAGAATTTGCTTGGAAAAAAACAAAAAATATTCCCCCACTTGCTCTGACATTCCTTCAGCAGCTCGGTGTGTTTGGAAGAAAAAAGGGAATAAATAAAGGAAACCTTCAGAGAAACGAGTCATGTTTGTGAACTGATTACACTGATGGTGACCCACAGAAACAGAACCCACTTTTCCAAAGGGAAAGGTGACACTGTTCAGAACTGCTTTAGGATACAGCACATCCAGCAATGTTTTCTCCCTTTATGGATCCTGCTCAGGACCCCCCCCACGAACACCAGGAATTAGGACAGGAGTTAGAAGATGAACCTCACTCCCACTCGGGGTCCCCCACTGGTGCACCACATTAACCACTGCAGGACCCCAGGCCCTCAAACACTGAGATCCAAACTGGAATTCCAGGCAGTCTGAGGACACATCACCTCTCCAGGCAGTTAAATCCACCAAATGCAAACTGAAGTCAGAGTTCAGCAAACAAATTCCCCAAGCCCTTCACTTCCTCCCCCCCCAACACAGCTCTCCTGCTCCACCTCCCTGCTTTGTGGGGATCTCTGTCCCCCCAATGGCTGAGCATCCTCTAATTATGCATTAAATGAGACCCCAATTAACTGGCTGACACGGCTCCACCTCTGCTGAAGGGCCACAGCTCCTCCCCTGGCCACTGGACACAGCAAAGTCCCCAGGAAATGCCTCCAGGAATCAGCTCCAGTCAGAAATGGGCAATAATTTACAGCCACAACTCCACAGCCCTGCCAGTAGATAAAAAAAATTATAGAAACACAGAATATCCTGAGTTGGAAGTGACCCACCAGGATCAGAGTCCAACTCCTGGCCCTAGTGATGAAAACTATCCTTTTTTAATGTTAAAATGCTTTTTCTTAGGACAAAAAGGGAGCCCAAGCCTCAATCCTCAGTGCTACACTGATCAATTAATAACTGTTACACCACTTCAAGTGCCCAAATAACACACAACCTGGACTTTGCATTTCGTGGGTGGTTTGCATTCGTGTCCCTGAGAAAGATAACATGGATTCAGAACCCCTTCCTGTGGAATCATCCTCAACCACAGGATGGGACTCCACCTGAAGGCTCCCACAGGCCCCCCCATTCCTAAGAAACCCTGGGCACAGCCTGAGCACTCCTGGCTCTGCTGGATGTGGAACCTGGAAGAGCAGCAGTGCAGCAGGAGAAGGACTGGATTGGGTCCTGCCTTCTTCACCCACCAGCTCCTCCTGTTCCCAGAGCAGCCTCCTTTGTGCCCAATCCCAGGATGCTGCCTGGGGAGGACCCTGCCCTGCAAACCACAGCAGAGCTGCTGCTGCTCACCCCGAGTTCCAGATCCAACCCCACCTTCCAGCACACTCCTGCTCCTCAGGGAGCCGTGTCCACGAGCACAGAGCACACTCTGCTCCCATCTTCTCCCTAGGAAGTGTTTCACTGGGTTGTTTGGGGGTTTTTGTTGGGTTTTTTGGGGTGGTTGTTTGGGTTTGTTTGGTTGGGTTTTTTTAAAGCAGATCCCAGAGGGAGTTAAAGGCCCAGGAGAACACAGCTGCCCTTTGCATCCTGTCACTGAGGGCACAGAACCCCACAGAACCTCGAGCCAGGGGGAGGTTTGGGAAAGAGCTGATCAGAGCTGCTCCCTTCCCATGGCCCTGGGAACCCCTCCAGGGGGTGCAGAGGGAGAACCTCCCTCACACACCTGTTGATCCCTTTCCCAAACCTCTCATTTCCAGCCAGGAAAAGCTCCTTCCTCACCAGCACATCCCTGCTGGGTGTTCACAGTTCCGACTGTCTCCATCAAAGGCAACCTTTTGTTACAGCCTCAGATCAGCCTTTCTCATGTGCATCCTGCCTTAGCACTGATCAGATCCCCAAAGATTCCCACCTGGCCAGTGACTGCAATCTGAGCTCCCTGGCCCTCTGGACTGCTTGGCCATATGAAGTGGAAAAGCAAGGCAAAAGTGGAAAATCTTGGCAAAAACACTTCTATTTTTGATAATTCCAGGTTTTTGTGTTCGGTTTACACCAACTTTTATGGAAAATTCCACTTCAGCCTCCTATGCAAGCTCCCAGCCTGGAAGGTGTCTGCCCACCAGCTGATCCAGCACAGACCCAGCTGCACCACCTGCCAGACTGAGCAGCACAGCTCGTTATTCCTTTGGCCTGAAAGGTGGACACTGCCAGCATTCCTCAGCTCTACTCCTTGTCAGACCCCAGCTCAGTGTTCACTGGCAAAGATGAAGCTTGAGGAATTCAATTCCTAAAGCACACGAGTGCAGGATGCACCACACCCCGAGAGCAGCCAGAGAGAACCTGAGCAAGAGGGGACTGTTTCACTGTACACACAAATAGTATCAGGGTGGTATTAACACATAACTGCAACTCCTGGTGTAATCCTCCAAATCTTTGGCTCCCAGAAAACCCTGGTGATCCAGACAGAGGCAGAGGAGCAATCAGAGAGAACCAAGGCAAACACAACGGCAGTTTGGGACTTGGTTCGCTGAAGCTGATGCCAAAACTCACTGACTTCAACAAGATCAGGATCAAACCTTGCCTGAGCTGTCCCAATCCCAGTAAAGTAGTGATGGGTCTGCCACTGCAGTGCCAGGACTGTGCTGGCAGTGCCAGGACGTGGATCACAGGGTGCCCACTGTCACACCCCTCAGTGACAGCGAAGGCTCTCGGCAGCGCTGAGCTCTGAGCTGACAGACACAGATTGAACCCAACCTGCTGCACTTGGCACATGCACGACCACAGGGCTTTAAGGCACACTTCTGGCACTTTGCAATACTTGCACTGCTTTTCAGACTGTGCAGGTGACACAGGGGTGTCTGGGAACTTCTACCTTTCGGATCCAGGCCTGGGGGCCGCTGTTGGTGAGCTCGTCCGAGGACAGGATCTGTGCCCCAGTGCTGCCCGTGAACTGGCCAGGGATGGAGTTGGACTGGGCCCAGGCATCAATCTGCAAAGGCAAAAGCACAGGAGAGACCAAAATAAATGTCTGCACCTTCTCCTCTGCCACTCTCCATTGTTCCTCAGCACTTTTCATGCTGATTCCTCATTCAGATTCAGTTGTGAGCAGGTGCTCCCAAAAGCTCCCAAAGTCTGAGTGGTCACCCTGAAGCCTGAGCTCCAAGTCTAGTGAGTTTATGGTCTGCTTATCCTCAAAATCCAGTGCTAGGAAGTGCATGGTTTCACAAGTTCCTTATCCCAAAATTCGGTGTTGGGAAGCGCAAACCAAGGCAGGACTTTACGAGCCCATCAACCGCTTCCCAAACGTGTTTGCTCAAACAGGCCAGAGCGATGAGCTGGGATGGAAGGCAAGCCCTGATTTCCCCCCAGCTGCTCAGCTGCTGCTGGCAGCCCCTCCATACCTGCTCCTGTGCACGGTTCAACATGCACATGGCCTCCAGGTCGAAGGAGTTCTCGTTGAGCCGTTTCTGGGCCACCGCCCGGTCGTTCATGGCCGTGGTGATGTCCACACACTGGGGAGAAAGAGAGCACTTGTGAAGATACATCAGAGCACAGCAGTGTCCACTGGGGCTGGGAAAAGCTGCTGGAGAATAAGAGCTGCCAATACTGCAAAGTGGTTTTACACAATCAATAGTTTGTCTGATAAAGAAACAGGCAAGGCGGCAAAAATCCTGGGGCTGCTTAAATCCACACAGGGTGGGCTTTCCTAAGCAAATACAGACTCTAAGTGTAACATCACCTGTACACACTAAATATCCAACAAGTTGTTTTCTAAGAACTATTTTGGTCACAAAAAAATTTGCAGAGAAGCATTTTCCTGTTCAGTGTCATCTTCTTCACCAACAGAATCAAACAAGGGACAGGAGGAGAGGGAACGGCCTCCAGCTGTGCCAGGGGAGGCTCAGGTTGGACAGGAGGAGGAATTTCCTGCTGGAAAGGGTGGTCAGGCCTTGGCAGGGGCTGCCCAGGGAGGTTTGGAGTGCCCAGCCCTGGAGGTGTCCCAGGAAGGCCTGGCCGTGGCACTCAGTGCTCTGGGCTGGGGGACAAGGTGGGGATGGGGCACAGGGGGATCCATGGGCTGGGAGGGCTTTTCCAGCCTCAGGGATCCTGGGATTCTGTAAAACCAGGCTGGGAGCTCATAGAATTCATTGTTCTGGAAAGAGTTCTTTCCATCTGTGCTGCTGAACTACAATAAAATTTAAAGAAAAGTAAATCTGAAACTGTTGTGGAGTCCCCTGGGTGAGAACACAGGGTATGAAGGAGCTCACTGGAAACCTCCCCTCTGTGGGGTGAAAACATAACCAATTGTGGCTGGAGTACAGCTCTTGTCTAAAATCCTTGTGCCCTGCTCCTCAGAGGATGTGCATTTTATGGATCTTTCTGTCTGGAAAGGAGAAAGGGAAGGAATGGAATTTCCTTGGAGCTGTGACAGACACTGGTAGGGCTGGGACTGTTTGAGGCACAGGAGAAACCCAACAATCAGAGCAGCAGTTGGCACACACACCTCGAGGGGAAGGGGCATTTTAACTTCATTTTAATTGGCCCTATAAAACCCCTTTCTCTCCTTTGTTAGTCACCATCTCACACACTGTACAAAGCAGGAGGGACTCATTAAGGATTGACTCAGCTGAACCAAACAAACACAGTTAATCCACACCCCCTGGCCCAGGAACCAGGTCAAGAATTAACTAAATACTGAAAAGCAGTCAGAGACAGACATGGGGTTCTACAACTGCATCAAACACAAGGATTGGTTCTGTGCTCTGTTAAATCTGACTGAAGATGTGGGATTTTTGGTTGGAGTTCAGGACAAAGGGGTCTCTGTGGTGAAGGTCATTGCTGGAGCACCTGGCACTGACCAAGACAGGGTTCAAATCCCCCAAGTCCCAGTGTCCCTGGACTGACATCAGTGCTTATTTACTGTCACACAGAGCACAACCAAGGCACAAGAGCAATCAAAATATTATCTCAAATCCCCTCACACGTACATTAAAATGCCTGTTTCAAACACACACTGGCTGAGTCAATAAATTTCCCTCACATGCTCAAGTAATTCTTGAATTTTCTGTTTGTGAAACGAGTTCAGGAGATAGATAAGAGTTCTTCTACTCACCAAAAGCTTCAATCCAGCAATACACCCAGGCATGGGAGCAGCCCAGGAAAGCAGCCTGGCACCACTGCCATGCCAAACCTGGGTGTTAGTGCTTTACCAGACTGGGGCTCTCAGCACATCCCCTGGGCACTCAACTCCCAACACTTCCCAAAAGGCCAGGCACCAGCGTGGGGACCAGCAGGGCTTTGTGCTGTGCCAACACACTCCATGGCAGCTTTGGATCTCGAGCAAAAATACAAATCTCTGCTTGAAGTACGAGAAGTTGTTATTATTGAGTCAAGGCAAACGGTGGCAGTGCAGTGTTCCATCGTCCCCCAGAGCTCTGCCTGGCCAAGCCTCATCCTCCTCACCTTCCCCACCAATCACAAACCCTGGAGCAGGAAGGATGTGGCTGGCAGGGGACAGCAGGTTTTTCACCTGCTCTGGAGGTTCCCTGAGTGCATTTCCTGCCTTTTTACATCCCCTGAGCACCTCTGTCCAAGGCACCTGGGATGCTCCACCCTGGAATCCAACACTCAGCTCCACACTTCCCAACACAGCTCCTTCCTCACAGGTTCCTCTGCCTCCTACAGACATGCTGAGCCTCCACATTACTCCAGACCTTTTCCTCCATCTCCTGCCACCACAAACAACTATGCTAAGAGCCCACAGGGTTATTAACCAAGCTGTGATACACTGGCAGGCTCATTTCAGACTAATGCAGTAACTAAAAGCAGAGCAATGAAACCAGCTGGGTGGTTTGTCACGTCAGTCCAGACTCGTATCACAACTGTCACAATATTTCAGAATTAGGAACAATGAACGGAGGGAAATTACATGTGAAACTTTTTAAGGATCCAAGCACACTCCCCCAGGCAAGGAGCTGATCTGCCTCATGTTGCTCAAAGGGAGCCATTTCCACCTCAGAGTCCCCACAAACATTTTAAAAAATCGGGCAGAGAAGCAACTCTGTTACCTGTCAGACTCCCTGGAGGAACACACAGCAATTCTGCTACTGTTTGCCACTTAAGCCTTGCCAAACCCAAGAGATGGGACACTCTGAGCTAACGCCCCCTGAAATCACCCTTAACACAAACCAAGTTAAGGTAAATGCAAATAAAAATATTTATTTACAAATATAAAAGCAGACAACATAGTTACAGGCATTTATAAACATACACAGGACAGAAAGGAAAGTTGTGGTTCACATATTTACTCCAGTGAAACCGGGAATGACCTTCTGCACAAACATCTCAGGGTTTGCCTCACTAGTGGTGCCTGAGAGCCCAAACTGAGGGAACAAGGAATCGGGTGCCTGACCATCAAACTCCCAGGTATCCCATAAAAATGTTGGGGAAGTTACACACTCTGGGCTTTTGGTGCTGTAAAACACCCAGAAGAAAACTCCTTCCGTGCTTCAATTGTGCAGTACCAGAAAGTTCTTGAAAAACAAAACACACCAAGTGAAGAGATGGTTTTGTCAGAAACAGATGGAAGGGTTTTGGTTTTGGCTTTGGAGGGGGTGAGAACGAGGCTTCAAGTGCATTGAGGTAACAGCAACTTAAAGAAATTAACATCTGTCTTAAATATTTAATTTACTTAATTACAAAACCCCCACAAAATGTTCTCTGGAAGAAATTTCAAGGGGAAAAACATTTGCTCTGTATTTTTTTGTTTATCATCCACACAATTAGATTGTCCTTTGGAAGGTCAAGTGCAAAACAGCCATGTGAGCAAACCTGCCTGGAAAGCTGGAAAATCAATAAACACATCCCGAGGAGATGGTGGTTTTAAAAGCACTTACAATTTTCAATGGATTACATTCCAGTGTGATGTTGTTACTCTAAGATCAGTGGGATAATTTAAGTAGCATTACATACATTACTGTCAAAGTCTCCAGGTGTTAATTAACCTCTGCAGGAAACTCAGCAAGGAACTTTTTTTATCTCTTCCAGCTAAAGTTTCAATTCCCTGGAGCCCAAGGAGTCCCAGCTGACCAAAGGCCAGGGGTGGGACAGGCTTCTGCTCCCAGCTCTGCCCCCAGGAGCATCCCCGATGCAGAGCTCACATCCCCAGCTCACTCAGCTCTTAGGTCCCACCTTTTTAAGTGCCTTTTTCGTTTTCCCAGACTGCATTTTGGTCCCCGAGTGCCCAGGTAATGGTTTTGGCTTTCTGATGTGATAGGCTCTCCTTGCCTTGCTTACCTCAATGGCTGGTTTGGGGAACACATCGTCCTTGCCGTCGTCTTTGCCGCCCTTGTCAACGGGAACCCACTCTCCATAGACACTGTCTGCCTCCTTCTTCCTGTGCTGGGACCCAGAGGACACAGGGAACTCCTTGGACAGGCTGACCTGGTTTTTTGGTTGGGGGGGTGGTGCTGGTTTTATGCTGGGAGTCTGAAAGGCAGAAAATGGCAGAGTTCAGACCTGCAAACACGCAGGACTCCCAAAGTGATTCCCTGCAAACACTTGGGGTTCAGCTGCCACAGAACACTCACCCTTCTTATTATGGAACAATGAGCTACAATAATTATAATAAACCAACCCACATGTGAGCAACAAATTGCACTGTAAGAGAAGATGAGAAATCACTGAAACCAACTTCAGTGGCCCCAAACCTCCCAACCCTCCCTTCTCCCAGCTGAGCCCAGCACAAAGAGAACAACCCTCATCTGCCACACAGGTATTTGGCAGGGAAAGCTCCAAGGGAAAAGTCCTGGGCAGCCAAAACACTGGCTGTGATCAAAAGCTTTGCAAGACCAGACAGAGCACTTCTCAGCATCTAGCTTTCCCATTTTGGGTTATTTTTCAGAGCAGCAGGAATTTCCAAGCACATTCCATCTACAGCCTTGTTTTCCTCAGACACTGCTGGCAATTCCTGAAGAACCTGCACAGATCTCTGCCAGGTTCCCTCCCAAGAGGCAAACACAGGTGGCAATGTGGGATAATACTGGATAAACTCCTAGGAATATGGATGGGAATAGCTGTCAGACTGGAATGGAGAAAGAACAACACTAAAAGGGTCAAAAATGTGGCCAACAGGCAGAGCAACTCATCACCACCACAGAACATTCCTCTCCAGAGCCCAGAAGAATTCCAAGGTTTCTTGAGTTTCACTGTACCCCTTTCTAACAGTACTATATAAAATCTCTTTCTACCTTACACATGTAAATATGTATTACTGCTTATTTTGTGCACACCACAAGGTATTTATACACAAGAATAGCATTGTTATTTCTACTGTTCCTTCTAATATAATAATCTAATGTTATTTCTATTTTCACTGAGCCTACTAAATACTTTTCTAGTGCTTTATACCCTGCAAAACCAGAACAGACTTTCATGGGCACAAAAAAAACCAACCAAACAAACAAAACTAAAACTGGAAAACCCCCCCACCTAAAAAACCCCAAACATCAACAAACCAAGAGAAGTTAAACAAAGCTAATTGATGCTTCAAAGCATTTCAGTCCCAGATGCACTTCAACAAACACTCCCCATATCACCAAGATTATCAATTTAACCTTGGTGAATCTGGGAGTGTTTCTTTAAATTGACAGAGAAACACTCCCCATTTCACCAAGATCATCACCCCCTGCCGTATTTCTGTAAAAGAACTTGCATTATTTAAAAAGAACCACGGTTTAAAGCACTGAAAAGTCAAGCAGTACTCACACTTAAATTGAAGAAGATAGGTTTGGGCTCGCTGAGCTTGAAAGGATGGTTGTAGAAAGGCCGCTCCTCCTCCTCCTCGTCCGACACGTGGGGTTTGTTCACGATCACGTCGTCTGTGCTCTGGGCAATCTTCTTGCATTTCTGAAAAGGGAATGTCAGCTCTGAGCAAACCTGCACCTTGCACCCAAACACACAGAGAACATTTCTAGCAAAAAACATGGTTTTCTTTTCTGAAGACAAGGAAACCTTCCAGCGAGGGCACCAATAGAGGGACTTGGGATGTGCCACACAAATTATCCAACACCAGGCACTCACTGGGTGCTGACTCGGGACCTCGTCAGGAGCCACAGCTTCCAGATTCCTTCTGGAATATTGTGGGGTTGGCCAGGGATGCAGGACATCCCCATTTCATTGAATACAGAACACAGAGGTGCTGTGGGGATACCACAGTCAAACTGGGGAAACCTCCACAGGAGGAAACAAAAAAGAGAGGAAAAAAAGGACAAAAGACAAAAAGAGTTTCCAGAAAGGCCATAATTTTGTGATTCTTTCCTGATTTCCCAGCACCTGGACTGATTCTGTGGCCAGTTTTGACTCAACAGAAGAGAAACATCATCCAGCAGATTCCCAGAGTTGTAAGCTAAAGGAGGGGCAGGTTTGGGGCTTCCAGATCAGCACAAACTACTTTGGATCTTGGTCAGGGGACGTGAAAACCACTCCAGGTGTGAGCACAGGGCACCTGCACCACCCCAGCTTTGGACTGTCCCTCTGCTGCCCCCAGCCCAGGGACAGTCCAAAGTCCAGTTCTCAGCACCTGGACATTGCCTCATCTCAGATGTTATTTCCAGAACTGTCACACTGATGATGCAATTAAAAAAAACCCCACATAAAAGCACTTCTGTATTCCAAATTCTCTCCAGTTTCTGGGGGAAGTGTCCAAGGCCAGGTTGGACGGGGCTTGGAGCAACCTGGGCTGGTGGAAGGTGTCCCTGCCCATGGCAGGGGTGGCACTGGATGGGCTTTAAGGTCCCTTCCAACCCAAATCATCCTACGATTTCAAAACAACACCAGAATCAAAAACTGGAAGTGAAAGCTTTGGGTTTCATGAACAGGAGTGCAGGGACAGACACCAATTTGTACCAAATGAGAACAGAATCAGAACTAAACAAAAAAAAAAAAAAAAAGGCAAAATAATTGGATTTCATGCATTTCCATGGAATTAAAAATGTCAGTTTTAATGACTCAAAACAGACTTGTGTCCAGAATAAGGGCTCAAAAGAGTGGTGAGGCCTTGGCAGGGGCTGCCCAGGGAGGTTTGGAGTGCCCAGCCCTGGAGGTGTCCCAGGAAGGCCTGGCCGTGGCACTCAGTGCTCTGGGCTGGGGGACAAGGTGGGGATGGGGCACAGGGGGGATCCATGGGCTGGGAGGGCTTTTCCAGCCTGGACAATTCTGTGATTCCAAACCCAAAGCAGCTCCCACGTGACCCGAGCACACAGTGCCACGGTGCCCACACTCCCCCAAAGCCCAGCTTGGCTACGCTCAGGTTCAGCCAGTGCTGCTGCTCTCCCTCACCTCCGTGAGCTCCTTCAGGGTGTCCCGGGAGGATTTCTGGTTGGCTTTGTCGTCCTTCTTCTGGGACAGCAGAGGCATCAGGCTGGGGGGCAGGGGCACCCCGGACTTCGCACACATGGCGGCCGCGTTGGCTTTGGCGATTTCCAGGAGCTGGGCCTTGTCTGAGGAGAGGCATTTTGGTAAAGGAGAGTGAGTATTTTACACAGGTTCTTCTTTTAATAATAAAGAAGCGTTTCTGGCAAACTGGACAAGATTTTACCCACACCATGCTTTTATTATGTTCTGTGGAAATCACTGCTTGTGTAGAACACAATTACGTGCAAAACTGTTAATGAAACAGTAATTTGCTCTATTAGGGAGTCCTGTGGCCCTGGCAGGGAAACAGGGCATGGAAATAAATTAAGCCTCCTGCCAGTTTGCAAATAAATGAGTTACCACCTTCTGGTACTGGCAGGCTCCCAAGGCAACTCTGAGTCAGGACTAGGAGGATCAGAAACTCCAGTCTGCAACAGGAGGTTCCTCACACACTGTACAAGAGCTCGGCCCCAAATTCAAACCTTCTTTCTCCTTCTGTAACTCACTATCCAAGGAAACCCCATGGCCTCTCTTCCCCCAAGCACAGAGAAAAGATGCAGCTCATTAGGAATTTTTCTCTGCTGAGTCTGGGATTATTTTCAGAAACAAGTCTCCCTTTCCTAGAAGTTCTTACCATGGGAAAGAGGCAAGACAGAGTCCTGGGAACAGCCAACAACAGAGCTTGGGACTCTCCAGTTGGCACCTAACCGACCTTTCAGGCCCAACCTGTTCTCAGGAAAACGAGAAATTCCCAAGTTTCTTATGTCCAATTACTTGGCCTTCACCAACTCTTACCCTGCACAGTGCTCCTCAAGGCTGCTGCACACCACCTTTGCACACAAGCTCCAGAGCCCAGGTACAACCTGCTGCAAGGACACTTCCATCCAAATGGAGAGCGGCGATTCCACTCCAACGTGGAAGTTCCTACTGGAAGTCACTGCCTAAAACTAACACGCAGAACGACTTCCAAGGAATCCCTTCTGACCACTGCAGGGACATGTTAAAGCCAGGCTGTGCAGACCGACCCACCCTCGCCCGTCCCGGAGCTACCGAAAATGAGCCCTCACTCACCCAGGTCTGTGAGACGTTTCGGGGACCTGCTGGAGAACTCGGAGGACCTGGAGCGGCGGCGATCGGGTGACCTGCTGTATCGCCTTCGCCCTGAAGACCTCGACCGCCGCAGCCGGATCGGGGACCTGCTGGAGCTCCGTCTCCTCCCTCGGGATCTCGATCTCCTCTGCCGAAGAGGCGTCCGACTCCTGCTCCGTAATCGGAGCGATATCCTACGATCTCTGGAATCCGATCTCCTCCTCCTTCTCTCGGTAGATCTGGATCTATTTCTCTGAGACCTCTTGCGCCTGTCCCTGGATAAGGAGCGTCGCCTTCGGGATGCTGACCGCGACCTGCTCCTCCTCCTGTGCCTTGACCGGGACAAGGAGCTGGACCGGGAGCGGCGGTTGGATTTGGATCGCGAGGCTCTTCTCCGTGTCGCTGACCTGGAGCGATTCCGCCTGGAGCGAGAGTCTGTGTCGTATCTCTTGGATCTGCGCTGAGAGGACCTGGAGCGCCTGCTCCTGGACCTCCGAGAAGACTCTTTGTCCGCTGCCTTCTCCACGGATTTGGACTGACTCCTCTGGCGAGCGGTGGACCTGGAGCGCCGGCGCCGGGACCTCCGGGTGGACTCCTTGTCTGCTGTCTTCTCCACGGACGTGGACTGGCTCCTTTGGTGAGCAGTGGACCTGGAGCGTCTCCGTCGGTACCTCCGGGTGGTCTCTTTGTCCGCCGCTTTCTCAACGGACGTGGATCGGCTCTTCTGGAGGGCGGGAGACTGTGAGCGCCTGCTGACAGATCTCTGGGGAGACTCTTTGTCGGACGCTTTATCAACAGATTTGGATCTGGATTTCTCACGTTCAGAAGACTCGGAACGTCTACTTTCAGGGACAAAGGAAGAGTCCTGTTCCTCCGACTGCTCCAGAGGCATGGAATCCTGCTTATCTTCATCTGCCAAAGAGGGTTCTGCATCCTCACCCTCCTCTTCCCCGCTGGAAGACTCCGACTCATGCTCCTCTGATGACGTGGAGTCTCTTTGTTCAGCTGTCAAGGAGGGCTCCGCATCATCTCCTTCTTCTTCCCCAGTGGTAGACCTGGACTCAGCCCCATCGGGGGATGCAGAACGTCTATGCTCAGCTGTCAAAGAGGGCTCCACATCCTCTGCTTCTTCACCAGCGTCAGACCTTGACTCCTGCTCGTCCGACGACGTGGAATCTCTTCGCTCAGCTGCCGAGGAGGGCTCCACGTCCTCTGCATCCTCTCCAGCAGTAGATCTCGACTCATGATCATCTGAAGATGTGGAGTGCCTACGTTCAGCTGTCAAAGAGAGCTCCTGATCCTCTGCTTCTTCACCTACAGATGACCTGGACTCGCGTCCGTCAGGAGACACAGAACGTCTGTGTTCGGCTGTCAAATCCTCTGTTTCTTCACCAGCTGTGGACTCACGGTCATCAGAAGACGTGGAGTGTCTACGTTCAGCCGTCACAGAGGCCTCCCCATCTTCCCCATCCTCCCCAGCAGTGGACCTCGACTCGTGCTCGTCAGAGGATATGGAGTCTCTTCGTTCAGCTGTCAAGGAGGGTTCTGCATCCTCTGCCTCTTCCCCAGTGGTTGACCTTGACTCGTGCTCATCAGAAGACACGGAGCATCTACGTTCTGTTGTCAAAGGCTGCTCCAGATCCTCTGCTTCTTCACCCGCGCTTGACTCCTGCTCTTCAGGGGAGGTGGAACGTCTCTCCACATCATCCATTTCTTCATCTATGGCAGATTTCCGGTCGTGGCCCTCGGGGGACACAGACCGCCTGTGTTCAGAAGTCAAAGAGGACTCCAGACCCTCTTCCTCCATGGGAGATTTCAGCTCATGACCCTCCTGATAGGAGGATGTGGAATATCTACGTTCAGATCTCAAAGAGGGCTCCAGATCCCCAGTTTCTTCTCCAGGGCCTGATCTCACACTGTAGCCGTCCGGAGACACAGAGCGCTCACCTTCAGGCAGTAAAGAAGGCATTGCGTGGTCCACTTTCTCAACAGGGATGGATTTCAAATCCCTGTCATCAGGGGACATGGAGGCTCTGTCGTTCAGTGCCAAAGGTTCAAGGTCATCTGCTTTTCCAACACTGGTGAATCTCAACTCTTGCTCATCGGGAGATGCTCCATGTTCATTGTCAGGTGCTGGAGAAAGCTCCTGCCCAGCTGCTTTCTGAAGAGGGGGGAATCTCACCTCCTGGCTCTCGAAAAACAAATGGTCACGTTCAGATGCCAAAGCAGAATCCCCACCCTCTGCTCTCTCAGTGTGAGTTACTCGTGGTTCGTACTCCTCGGGGGACAGAGCGTGTTCGTTTTCAGATGTCACAGAAGGTTCCTTGGCCTCTATTCTTTCAGCTGGGCTGGACTGCAGCTCCTGACCTTCAGGGGACATGGGACACTCACCCTCAGACAAAGACAACTCCTGCACCTCTGTTTTTCCAACAGCTGCAGGCTGCAACTCCCGGCTGTCGGTGGATATTGAACTTTCACTTTCAGATTCCTCCCCTTCTTCTTTCTCAGCGGGACTGGATCTCAAATCTCGCCTTTCAGGGGACACATCGTACTCGTTTTCAGACAGCAGAGAACACTCCTGCACCTCTGGTGTCTCATTGTAAGCGTGGAGCAGCTCCAGTCCCCCGGGAGATGCAGTGTAGCAGCTGTCTGGGATGGGGGAGGGCTCCTGCACTGCCGTGTTCCCAGCGAGGCCAGGCTGTAAACCCTGGCCCCGAGGGAAGATGGAATATTCACTGCCAGGTGGCAGAGAAGGCTCCTGCACCTCTTTTTCAGCTGGGCTGGCCATCACCTCCTGGCCCTGAGGAGACACCCCAGGCAGCACAGAGCACTCCTGCCCCTCTGGTTTTGCAGCCAGGGAAGATGGCAACGTGTGATGTTCAGCAGCCACAGCATAGTCACTGTCGGGTACCACGGCAGCCTCCTGCACCTCTGCCCTTTCGGGAGAGCTGGACCTCAACTCCTGGTGCAGCCAGGACACGGTGCATTCGCTGTCAGAGCCCAGGGCAGGCTCTTCCATCTGGGCCTTCTCAGCAGAGGGTGCCTGCAGCTCCTGGCTCTCGGCAGACACCAAACTTCTCTCCTCAGCCATCTGGTAAAGCTTCCGCAGCTCTGTCTTCTCCGCAGGGGTTGATGTCAGCTCTGGGCCATCGAGCCCTATCATGTGTTCATTGTCGGACACTCCAGAAGGCTCCTCTACCTCAGCTCTTCCAAAAGGGGTGGATGTCACCTCGTGACCATCAGAGGCAACTGAACATCTGCTTTCCTGCACCTGTATTTCATCGTGGGCAGACCCCAGCCTGTAGCTGTCAGGGGAAGCGAGGACTTTCGGTTCAGATGAATTCAGCACCTCCACTTTTTCAGCAGGGACAGGTCTCAGTTCATGGTTATCGGGCAACAGGACAACCCCCTCTTCTGATGGCAGAGCAGTCGCTGGGGGCTGCAGTTTTTCAGGTGTGCTCACTGATTCACCATCAGCAGACACAGAGAACCCACCTTCCAGCGAGAGAGGAGACTTATGGATCTCCACTTTATCAACTGCAGCAGATGCCAGTTTATAGCCTTCGGGGAACACAGAGCACCTGAGCTCAGACGCCACTGACAGTTCTGCACCTTCTGTGCTCTCAAAAGAATTGTACTTTGCTTTGTGGCCATCGTGGCACACGGAAATCCCACTCTTGGAGAGCACCAAAGATCCTGCACCATCTATTTTTCCAGCAGGCAGGTATCTCGACTCGTGCATTTCTGAAGATCTGGAGCAATCAACCTCAAGGACTTGGGGAAGCGTTGGGCCATCCAAACCTTTGTCAACAGATGATCTGGACTCATGAACTTTAAAAGAGGACACTGAAACAAGGTCATCAGAGATCTCAACAGAACCACACACAGACGTGAGGGAAACATCTGCAGCCTTGACTTTTTCAACAGATAAATATCTTTGTTCATTTCCATCCGGGGACTTGAAGGACTCGCCTACAGACAACGAAGGTTGGTCTACTGGTGTAGCAAAGCAGGATCCTGATCCACGTCCATCAGGAGACATGAAGTATCCACTGTCAGAAGCCAGAGAAGGCTCCTGGCCATCAGGGATTGCAGGGTGGGTCCCTTCAGGTGCCAGGGAAGGCCTCTGAGCTTCCACTGCTCCGGGGCTGGCAGCCAGCTGGGAGGATCCATGTTCAGGTCCTTGCAGAAACTGGGGGAGCTCTGTTTGCTCACCAGGGATATGTCGCGAGTCAGGACCATCAGACGAGTTGGAGAGTGTGCCTTCGGGTGGCACAGAAGAGCCCTGAGCTTCCACACTTCCAGAGGATGAGGAGATAGTCTTGTAGTCACTTAGAAGTGACGGAGGAAGCTCTGGACCTTCTACTTCTCTGAGAGGGGTAGTCCTGGATACATCTCCGTGGGATGTGGAGAGATGGAATTCTGCTGCTGAAGAAGTTTCTGCATCTCTCCTTTTTTCAACAGATGAGGATCTTGACTTGGGTGTGGAATATGGAAGTTCAGGTAGCGGTGAAGACTCCAGAGCCTCTGCTTTTTCAGCTGATCCATTTTCAGACGTCATAGAAAGCTCTGAATCCTGTGTTTTTTCCACAGACATGGATCTCAATTCCTGGTTGTCTGGGGTTTTGGAGGTATCCATTTCAGACATGGCAGAAGACTGCAGATCTGTTTTTTCAACAGATGAGGAACTTTCTTCAAGGTTATCAGACGTTTTGGAAAATCCACTTCCATACGACGGTGGCAGCTCTGGGCCGTTTATTCCTTGCTCGGACAAAGACATTGACATGGGACCATTGGAAGATTTGCCTTCGCTTCCAACAGAAGACTCAGGAACATTTTCAAGACTTTTGGTTGACTCCTGAAGTTCAGATGACTCTGCGTGTTTGCTGGACTTTGCTGACAACTTATTCTCTCTTTTTTCTACAGATTTGGACCTTGACTTGACGCTGTCAGAAGACTTGGAACGTTTCCGTTTGGACTTTTTTGAAGATTCCTTGCGCTTTTTTTCAACAGACCTGGACCTGGACTTGTAACGTTCGGAAGATTTTGAGCGGCGACGCTTGGATTTACGGGAGGACTCCTTCTTTTTTTCCACCGATTTGGATCTCGACTTGTACCGGTCCGAGGACTTGGAGCGCTGACGTTTAGACTTCCGCGACGATTGCTTCCGATCTCTCTTTTCTACTGACCTGGACCTAGACTTGTAGCGGTCCGAGGACTTGGAGCGTTGTCGTTTCGACCTCCGCACAGACGCCTTCCGACCTCTTTTCTCTACGGACCGTGACCTGGATTTTGACCGATCAGAGGAACCAGACCGATG